GTGTGTGTGTGTGTGTGTGTGTGTGTGTGTGTGTGTGTGTGTGGTGCAAAAGTTAATATGTGTCACCATGAGGGACGTAGTGGGTATCCGGCGCGAATGGTCTAAATATTCGAATCCCTCTACACTGGAAAAATCCCCTGAAAAAAAATTCCAATCTGTGAAGATAATGTCATCTCAGAAGTTATAATTGAATCAAACATAATGTTTCTTAATGAAGCATTAAGAAATAATACAATAACTATCTTTTGTTTTTTAATTAAAACTATCTTACAATATGAGGCATAGAATATATATATTACATTTTAAAGATTTTGCGAATTACTGCATCCTTTATTTCATTAACTTTCTCAGTCCTGACCATTTCATTTATTCATTCTATCAATTAATAAGAAATTGTGAAACAAAGTAAATATCGTCATTATGAACAAAGAAAATATTTGATACAATACCTGTTTTCATTGGGAGTTTGTAATATGTAACGTCCTTGAAATAAAATGATGCACGGTAGAGACAATCCGCTGACATTTTACTTGCTAATTCGCACTAGGATATTACACAACCAAAGAAGCACGTGTTTGTGTCGTAGGTCTTAAACAGGAGAAGCAACCGGCACATTTTATCACATGTACCCCCAGCTTCGTGAGCGACGTGAACGTAACCCCCTGTGCGCAAGGTCGGGTATTTTCATCATGTCATCTCATGGCTCTCTTGTGACGCAATTGTCTAGCCAGGTAAATCTTCACTCGACATCATCTAGCGCTGTAAAAATACCTCGTGCAATTTCCTCGCGAGTATATCATTTGCAGTATGAACTCTCTTTGTTTCCATTTTATGTAATAGTAGTTGTGTATTTTACCCCGGTCATTCAAACATTTTTTTCTTCTCATTGTGACTGTTATATGTGGGTTACTAAGCGCTTTTATTTGACCTAGCTGATTACTCCACTCTGTCCGGGTCTTTATTTACCACCTCACCCGCGCTGCCCGACTCGCCCGCTTCGACCGTCACTCCCCTCTTCACTGGCACTGCCTGTTTCTCACAAGGCCCACTACTCCTATGTTGAGAGGTGAGCCGTAGAGTAACAAATTGAACAATGCGTTCTGCGCCATATTGTAGCCAAATGCGGGATCGGTAATATAATACTGTGTATCTTAATGCTCTTTTCATTGGAGATTCTAGATTTAAACTTCGAAAATCACATTGTAAATGTTCCTATCTATTATGATAAATTACGAAAAACTTATACTAAGAAATTTTTATCACTCTTTCATAGTTTTTTTGCCCTCTGTAGCTTACTTATAGTTTCTTTTTCGAAGAAGATTCATATTATTCCCTAAAGTGAAAATGATTTAAGTAAATCTTGGTATACAACGTAATTCTTAATAATGCCGAGAAATGACCAAAACTCATGTAATGTCTCTTACAAATTTTAATTAATCGAAAAACTTTTTAAATGAATAAAATACTTGTATGAAGTATATTTATATATTCTTACTTAGAGTGTGCAGTTATGATAGGACAAAATTAAAGCATACGTTTCAATTAAATGAAAACTACTCAAATGTTACTTAATTAAACACTAGTCTTTGTTGTATGATTTGGATTTTTGGAAGTTCGCCTTTCATAACACTGTTTCATTTTTGCCTCCAGATAACAGGACAAAGGCACTGAAAAGAAATAATTTGCATGCGAAATTCCCACAGTTCTCGTCGCGTACGGACACACAACACGCCTGTCAGCGCATTTCATTGAACTACTAGTTGCCTACAATATAGCGCAGGGAGCAGCCTTCAATTTTGTTTCGATGCACTAGCGTTGTGTGTGTAGGTAATACTATCCAATATCTTTGATTTCACCCCGCCACTGCCAGCAACAAAGCCCCCTAGATGTAAAGCGAGCTGCATAAATAAATATTTATGATACGAGCAGTAAAGCTACCTTTTATTTTGCCAGTAGAAAAGGTTGCGACGCGGGTCCGATAGGACGAGTGGCGCAATGTTACAAGAGAAATAAAATCACTTTTACCACGTGTGTCATACCCATTTTAGACAGCCTTATTGACATGGAGCTTATTTTAATTTAAGTATATAAATCACTTCATGATACATTAAAGTCACTAGAGGAACACGGACGTTGTCCTGCCATCTCCCTCTTTCTCCCTCTCTCGTCTCTCTCCGTCTCTACCCGTCCCACCCTCCGTCTCACCCTCTCTCTCTCTCTCTCTCTCTCTCTCTCTCTCTCTCTCCGTCCGCCTCTCATTCTTCGTCTCTCTCTCTCTCCTTCTCTCTCTCGGACCCAGTCTGTCTGACTCTGTCCTGTGTGTCTCTCTCTGTCTGTTTCTGTCTCTGCCTCTCTCTCACCATTTCATACACATTTAGTTGCAGATTCTTCACGTCTCTGAGCAGGTGGTGTAATATCGAGAAGCGCTGAACCAACAAAAATGCAATAGAATGTTTAAGAAGATCTTATCCTGTATGCTACGGCATGAGAAACGTTTCCTTGAGGCCTTTTACTTCAAAATGTTAGTTTTAATGCCCTAGAACGCTTCGTTTAGGAGTAATTTTTACGATATAGAATCAAAGTCTGCCGAGTGTTGCGGGTTGCATTTGATATGAATAGTCAGATTTGTTCTTTGTTGTTGTTTTTTTCTCATGAATTTTCCAGATATTTGAATAGTTATTCTGCTATTTGGGGTGGAGATAAATACAATAAATCAGATATAACTATAATTGGTCAGCAGTTTTTTAATTATAAATGGTGTAACTAATCCGACTTAGTTTTATTTATTTAGATTAGTAACTGATGCGTCAGACGAAAGTATTGCGGTTTTATCTGAACATTTGAACATCGACTAACGTTTAGTGCTAAACATTTAAATTTTAGCACGCTATGCAAGCCTTAAAGCAGCCGCTTTCAGTAGTGGCTGACTAAAATCAAGCTTTTATTAATGAAAACTCATTTCGTAGTAATGTTTAGTAGCATAAACCCCCATACGTACTTTTTCTCGGTCGCTCAAAAGTATTCGTGCAATATTTTGATGCAATCACTCTAGTTCAAATGTTTTTGTGGCAAATACTCATATACACACATTCTTTTACTTTCAGTTAATACAAATAATGTTGATATATTTTTTTATTCAGAAAAGCTAGCAATAATAGTTGGTGTACCATGGGCTTTGCCACACGAGGCCACGCTTTGACGCTCGTTCAGTGCGGTCGCCTGCCGCTCATCCCGCGCGCCGGCCCGTCTCCCGCTTTCCACAGGGTCATTACCTCGGCGGGTTTCCACAACAGCACGTGCATTGTAATACCTTTCACGCACAAGCGCTGTTCTCTATATATTATACTCTGTTGTTCAAGCAATAATCATTCTTTGTTCGACTCCCGTTTCTGCAGGGGCTCTCCGGCACTCAACATACCGATATTTTGCTATTTACGATATCTATGACATCGAATAGGTGAGCCAGGTAAATGTATTAAGTTCAACACTTTCTTTTATTGTGGACTTTCATTACACAAAGAAAAATGTTTAGGATGAAAATATCCGTCGGATGTGCCGCACTGAGTTAGCAGAGTTCATTAACTCAAAAATCAACATGGTGGACATCGACAAAGTTAAGTGTAATAATATATTGAATCTTCGTTAAGGCCAAAAACCATCTGGACTGTTGCAACAATGTTTTGTTTGAAAAACAGTATAATAAAGAACCTTGAATGTATACATGTTACAAATGATAAATCTTGTACAACAAAATCAGCGTCACTGTGAAAGCATTAATCTATCGCACCGTGGTAGATAAGATCCATAAGAGCAGATATTTTTCCTTAACGGAACAATCTTTTTTTTTTTTTTCTCCTTGCTTTTCAAGTTATCAAGTTTGAAGAACCATCGGGCTGGCCCGAACCAGGAGCGATCCAGAATGTATTTCAAGGGTAGATCCAAATTCAGATTAGAACTCACATGTAATCTCATTTATATTTTTAGCTTGAAATAAAAAAATACGAGCATATTCGTAATAGGAGTGCATTAATAAATTACGAGTACATTCGTATTCACTATTTGGAATGTGAAGACATCTACGCTATGACGCACCCAGAGGGGGGGATGTCACAGGGCTTCAGCCCTTCCCAAAGGCCAATGATACTACATACTCAAAATATATGTTTTACTAATATTCTACACTAACGAAAGACATTCAAAATATCAATTGTTAAGTTCAGAAATATTATCTATAAATCAACAATTTAAAATGCAATTTGTATTCAACATAAGTGGAAAATTCTGTACGAGAAAACATCAAGCCGGCTGGACCTAAACCTGAAATCCTGGGTGTGCCTCTGGACCTAGATCTTTACATGGAACTCACGCACCCGCTCAGCGGAAGGCGCCCTCGCGCGGGGCAGCAGAGAAGCACTCACTGAGCGCGAGCGGTGCCTGGAAGAGCGCCGACTCGGCGCCGCTGCCCACGATGGCCAGCGTGAGGAAGAGCGGGAAGATGCCCGAGGAGACGGTGAGCAGGCAGCGGCCCAGCGCCGTCGACGCGATCGAGATGAAGAACGTCGGCCGACGCCCGATCCTGCGAAAGTGCAATGGACTCCTGTTGAAGCGCATTTCGTCGCTTTTTTCGGAAGACTATCGAAACGCAAAAAAACGTGTTTGGTACTGAAGAGCGGGATTTAATTTCCCCTCAGCTTCTTCTGCGACTCTCCATATAATTGATGATATTCAAGTTATATAAAAAAGTATCTTTTTTTCATTTTCTTTTAAATTTATGAAACTGGAGTTTAGAAAATTGAATTTTTTACTTTATTCTTTAAAAATATATATGATGATCTCATGGAATAGTGATGTATGTACTTTCAAAAGCAATTGATACGGCAGATATAAATATTCATTCCACAAAAAATGTTTTTGAACTGAATTATTTTATATCTCAATTTTTTAAGTTACAACACTATTTTTAAATAGCGCATGATATAGAACGCCGCCCTGGATGGCTGAAATTGACCAACCCTCTTTCATGCAAAGTGAGCATTGTAGATAAAACATTCCTGAAATAGCCTGCACTCAAGTTTTATACACGTCTTCTTTCAGATCAAGATATTAACGAAAAGAAACTATCTACATCATACATATATTTTAATCAAAAGATAACAAAAAATACTTATATTATACATTACTAAATATTATTTTACCATTTTAAATATTTATGTTGTTATGAATCTACAACAAAGCAAATCTACACCATATACTACTACATACATTCATGTAACACACGTGAGGAACACTGATGTTCCTTTATTTCCTATAAATATTGAAAAGTCCGATTACTCACATATCTCCAAGGTTGCCAAAGATGAAAGTGCCCACGACAAGACCGACTTGTTGGAATACAAATGTGTTGGTGACTCGCAAGCTGTGATCGCAAACCCAGTTTTCCTGCGATGGCGCAGTCCTGGTGTACCACGTGTTGTCGTAATCCCAGCCACTTTGGCATGCTGTAACAGTCGTATAACACAGTCAGACTCAAATCACATATTACGAGATATCAAAGACTATTATTTTACTGTAATAACTTCATTTGTTCATAAAAATATCTTTTGGTCTTTTAAATTATTTCGAAATGAGGTTATAGAACTGTATATTTTCCTAAGTCATCGTAATGTTCGCAAGTATACCCCTATTTAGATTTTTCTTTTGTCTTTCATGAAACAACCAAGTGGCGTAACACTTCAGCCGTGCAAAAACACCAGAGCCTAAATCATAAATAAGATTCTTGAGAGCCAGCAAATTCGAAAAAAATATTTTAGTTTTGCCCCAAGGACATTTTCTCAACAAATTCTCCAAATTTGTCTTTACATTTTTTGCCGAAATTGATCAGAGTGCGCTTATCAATAAGGCGGACGTCCAATTTTTATTAACACCTATGAATTTTCGAAAATTACAAAAGTTCGATTTCTTTGGACCTCTCCTACATATTAATTAATGCAGCAAGATATTTGTAAATGCAATATATTCCTCAATATTAATTCTTTTAAGTCATATGTCATTTTTTAATATTATTTTTTGCTATGTTTTGAATTAAATAATATTAATTTTCCAAAAATAATGACATTCACATGATTACAGACCTCACGAACATTACGGACTACAAAAAACGGACATCAACATCACACATCCACAAGATTCTTTCAAAAACGGCTGCAAATTCTTTCTTTAAACTTTTTTGTGGACTAAAGTATGCACTGAATCAAGTATCACAAGTGGTAATTTCATGTAAATTTTCGAGTTTAAAAATTAACAATAGCGTTTACATCAGTGGCGGCTGCTCCTTAAGAACTCTATAGTGGCGCCCTCCCTAAAAAAAACCGAACGTCGGGAAAAGTTGCAGAAAGTATTAAACTTGTAATAAATCAACCCTTTTAATTTGTGCATACCAACAGCGCAATTTTTAAGGACGATTTTAGTTTTTAGTGTCCGATTACGCGAAAGATAAATGTTTTTGGAATGGGTAGCATCGTGGACTATCGAGAGTCCGTCCGTAGCTGATGCACGCGAGTCAATGGAAGTTTGAGGAAGAGTGGGGGTACTGGGAGTTAGGTGAGGGCAGCGTATTCCTATTACGATTTTGCTCGACAGAGAACGCGGCTAATAACTAAGCTAAGAATGCCAACCCTTTCATCAGATTTTATAAATTATTGTTTTCTGTGCTGGAAATATTTTTTTAAAACATCTCTTATTTTCACGTGAGCACAATTGAATCTTCCTTTATCAACGTAAAAGTTCTCTTAGGCAAAGATTAAAATCCCGATGCCTGCAAATCGGTTGTACTTTATATGCCATAGTTTTCCTCGTTCAAGAAATATTTTGAAGATGTAAAATATATTTGATTGTTCGGACATACATGCCGCCCCTCCTAATTCGCAAGCCATCGGCCGTTACTGATTTACACGACCTTTGTTCCCGGGGGTAAACAGAGACATTGCTAGGAGAAAATATATTTATATTCCACCAACACCATTAAGAAGGTAAAAAACAAAATAACATTTAAAAACTGTAAAACAGGCTTCAAAATATAAAAGCGTTCTTAAAAGTAGACGCCCACATATTCCATATTATCCATCCGCATATTCCATACATGTCCTTTACAGAAAGCTTCTACACATAAAATGTTTGATTAGCATATACCTTTGGGTTTTTAACAAGTATAGATGTCAGCTTTATCATGTTTTAAAATTTTAACAGTAATTGGCAGACTTACCTACTATTTCACGAGTAGAATCGTTTCCTAGCGGCCTTTCAATAGGCAATGATCCTAATGTCGTTATATTGACATCAGCGTACATCTTACATTTACTGAATGTTAGCATTTCCATATTTCCTTCCTCCCTGTAGAAAAAAGTAGATACATCAACATTCACATACGTTTCTCAACCTATTAATGTATGATAAATTATACAACAAGAACATTCATAAATGATATTACGTTTTGGGCCTTCAGTTCCTTATAATAGTGAATTGTCTTTCAAATAGTCCTTCAAATATAATTTTGAAGATTGGGCTTACCCTTGTCCATATTACATTTATAATAAGAAGTATTATTCAAACACTGCACATTCGCATTATATAAGAAATATATTAATATAATTAATATTTCCGCAAAACGTTTAAAGAAACAAATTTCCAAGGATTACATTTGAGGGAATTGCGAACTTCGTGGAATGAGTGAGACAGAAGTATTTAAAGTACGTTAACTAATATTTATAGAAGCTGGAGGGAAGGAAAGTAGCAATAGCTGTGTAGCTTAGTAATCGATTGACATTGTGGTCTAAAACTGATTATGATATAATATTGATTAAATCTGCCCATGCAAAACACATCCACTGATTCAAAAGCTAATTAGAACGATTAGAAATTAAATGAAAATAAGATATGGTTTATCTATCTTTATTTTGTGATAAACATGTATCTTTTTTAATCTTCAGATTTGACGGAAAACGTTCTGAGGAATGCCCGCAGAACTCATTCCACGAGAGTGACTGCCAGTGAGCTATGATAAGGATGGTGGTGACGATGTTGATTGGTACGCGGTCAAAAAGTATCCTAACGCAAAAAATACACTACAAAATAAGTAAAGGTAGCTAAACTTATCTGATTTTCATATAATTAAATAAATGAATCCAATGAAAGTCAATAACTTGCCAAAAATGAAATAACTGAATGGAATTAACCAGAATAAATGAATTCTCAAACAAACTCATATGACTACATATAAAATTAGGGCTGGTGTTAATAAAGTAATGACGAATTCTAATTTTTGAAATATTTTTAAAATACTTTCAACAAATTTGGTTCTTTACCCATTTCCATGAGAAATTGTGGGGAAACCTCCCTAAAATCATTTGTAGAACATTTTCTGCGGTCGAAGATTAGCTTAGTTATTAAGACGATAAATTTGATGCTTTTTAGAAAATATTTTTATTTCATTTTCTTAAGAGGTGACGGACGGCAACCCTAAAGCAACATTGCATGTTGTCGCCGAAATTATAAAAAACATCTTCAAGATTCCAAAAATGTAAGTTAAATGTGTCAAATATTTTTTAATTGTTTACATTCATGTCACAATATCTGCATATAAAGTGCGGAGTTGACACTCAAAAATAACATAATCATTTAGACGTGCGCACAGGGGTGAAGTAGGGGGGGGGGTGCCTCCCCTGAAAACTTCGAAAGGAACCCCGTAGCCGAACGTAATACTAAAATAGTTTGTTCCCGTGAGTATGATAAATTCTTTATTTTCCCTCTTTTTAAGCAGACGGTTTGAAGAACTCATACACGATCTTTGCGGAAGAGGCCCTTCAGACCATCTGGAACCCTGCATATGATCCTAAATAATATGAATTAATTGTATTAAAGTTATAATTTCATTATACTTGATGTATGTTTGATTTACTTATTACCAACATGTCATATGTAAATAAAAAAGTGAAATAGAAAATCGGACTCAGAGGGGGCCCGTAAACGTAGTTGCCCCCCCTCTTCGTTTGGGCTACGCTCGCCTATGCCAGTCATAAAAATTATTTACGTTATTATAAGTGTATCACAGATATGTGAAACAAATAGCTTACAGGTCTTTACTGAATACAATGCTCATTAAATAATGACAAGAATTACTTAGGGAGAGTGAGTTCCTTCCACTGCTGCATTGTGAGGTTGGTGTGCTCCCGGCCCGGCACGTGGCACCAGTGCTCGGGCACCGCCATCGCCAGCACCAGGTTGAGGAAGGGCATGGCGGCCAGCAGCACGAACGCCAGGTTGAAAGTGAGGTTGAACTGCGTTTGGAACTTCCCGCGGTTGCCCACCGCCTCCATGATCTCGTCGAATATGTCATCGTCTTCGTGGGAGACCGTCATTTTGGGTTATGCGGCGACTGTGAAAAGAAAATACATAGTTTAAATACATTATGTAACACTATACTCTTTCGCACACACATTCTGATAATGTAATTTATTTCATTAGATTTACGTAGCATTAATAATCTTAAATCTCATATTAAATTCTTACAGCCTATGCAAATTTTAAAGACTCATAGAATTATTTTTTAAAAGCTCACAAACAAAAAAAACCATAAACTCATTTCTATTATGTAAAAGTTTTTTGTTTTCATCAGTGATACCAACTTGACCCAGAAGCTAATTGTTCATAATCATTTACTTAAAAAATTAATTAGACAATTTACGAAGTAAATAGTTTAAAAATACTAACGTGTTTTTATTGTGGGTACATTCTTTGTAATTCTAAGGACAAGAATTAATTTAAAGGTTAGCAATAATCTTCATCATTGATTGATGTTGACAAATCAGTTTGCACAGAAAATTTTATTATTACTACAGAAGTGCTATTTGTATCAGCATACTACGAGATACAAATGTGATTTTTTACTACAGTACACACAATTCTCCTTATTCCTTTGCCACTTAACAAAATAAGAGCTCAAGAAAATGTGCGAAAGTATTCTGTTATACAGTCCGAGAGCCGTGTTCAGATGGGGAATAAGTTTCACTATTTTCGACGCATTAACAAATTTCTCTTTTTACACAGTCTTATTTATTAAAATTAATCTCACAAATCATTAATAGATTGTGATTGTTCTAATAATGAAAGTTGAAATGTTTTTAGCACTCAAACGTTTAGTAGCGGCGTAGATGGCTCAGAACATCGCCTGCACTGCCTCTGATCGGGAGGTCCTAGGGATCGAGAAACCGATGGTTGCAGGATTGTCGGCTGTAGCTAGATGCCTTGCTCGAAGGCAGCCGCTCTATGGAGAATTCCAGCGGCGGGCTGCTCTGATAGGTAATTTTCCGTCGTTTCTCCAATCATCACCAGGCAAGGCAAATAACCCTAACACGTGTTTTTTCAATAATCGCCTAGCAAGGCGTGCTCTAACAAATGGGCCACGGACAGAGCGCGGCCTTTCCTTTCTCTTCCTGGCCCTTTCCCCACCCCTCACTTACTTGTACATATACTCTTACATGATCTGCACTCCCATACATGTCGGGAGCCTAGAGCTTGTCTTGGCGGGGGCGGTGTCCCGCTGGTGGGAGATACCGGGTTGAGGAAAACCCCGCTAACCGACAAGTAGGTCGGCGATAGATCTCGCCATCCAGCGGGGAAGATCGCCACCACCGCCTCCCGAGGAGAACTTGCACTACACATACGGGCTAATTATCTTAGCAGTTCACTCCCGGAAATAGGGAATAATCTATCAATCAAAGTTGAGTGTATTACTAGGTAACCTGGGAATTATTCATTTTAGCTCTCTTTAATACAAAAAATAAATACATATTATTTTATTACTCAGTAATAAAAATAAATGGTTGATTTGCCTCTAATAAGTTTTGGTCCCCGGAAGCCGAGTTCTTAGGGCCCGAGCATCGCCGGGTATACATTGCATCGCAACTCAGTAATAATCAGTATCTTATTATGGGATCAACGAGAATTTTTTGAGACCTTAACTGATCTGCTCACCGAGAAAACTTATAAAGAAATTATATTATTCTTATTTACTCTATAACTAACAATAACTTGAAATTGAAAACGAGAGAAATGATCCTCAATTTCATGTATATCCTGCTTCACAGGAGATGGAGGAGACACATTTACTGGTATGGATACTTCTTTTCTAGGAAGTTTCCACTAAAAGTAAATTTAAGAGTAAACTATAGTAAAACAGAGAAATATAATAATATTAATAAAATAATTAGTGAATGATCAAGTTTGTATTTCCTTTTTTCTCTTTTATTTTGTACATTTTCCGAATTATGAAAAAGTATTAAGTCCCTAGTAAAATTATTTTTTCTCGTTGAAATATAATTTTTGTATTGGATATTAATATATAAAGAAGATCAATTTTAATAATCTCTCTTAGCAAATGTAATTTCCGACCGAAAGCAAACTTTTTACTATTTTTTTAAGGGGTACGCTGTTAAACATTTCAGCCAAAGGAGGATCGCAATAAAAACGCTGTTATGAAGGCTTTAAGTAACAAAAAAATATTACGTAGCGTAAAATTGCACATGCATAGCTCTATGTTATCTCACTATCTCATTCCTGATGCTACAGTGTGACGATGCCCTTTCAAATGAACGTGTTTGCTCTTTAATAATACAGAATTGCGCAACAAAATGGACGAGATAGGTATGCTATTATTTTTACTGAATTCTTTTCCATCTTTAAATCAAGATTATGATAATGAAGATAAGAATATTGATATGATCCATTTTAGTCAATAAATCGTATCCTTAGAGTAAAAAAAACTGTCAATAGCCTACTGATTCTTGTTTTTGTTACTATATATGAGTCTCTTTCCTCACTCAACGTTCTTTCCAGAATTTCAAATGCATTTTCCTCTCTAAACTATTTTTTTTTCAAGAAAGTTCTTTTCGAGTATATACAAAATGAAAATACTGTAATAGGAAAATACGTTTAAAAACTTTTTCCTCTACTTCAGAACTCCAAAGGAATTTGCGAATTGTAAACCTCTAACTTTATTAGACCGAATAAGAGATGCTGCTAAGCATGCAGCGTTTTACAGTTGTTATAGCGACAAGGAATTTCATCGAATGGGGTCTCTAATATTATAAATGTAGACAGGTATTTATTTCTTCTACGATCTGAGTGAACATAATAATAATGTTTTTTCTTCACATCTGTGCGTTACGTAATGTAATCTTAGGTCGTTTAAGTTGATAATACTCATAGTTATTTTTGTCTGAGGTACGTAAAATGATGGTTTATTGTACTGACAAGACTGACAAGAATTAGTTTTTTATTTGGGCGATAGGTTGAGGAGGAAAAACTGAGATGGTGCAAAAAACAATTCTTTCGCTCACGAAATATAAATAAAATGTTTTACGATGGTATAAAAAATTCTATTACGAATCATTTGTTTCATAATTATTCATATTTGTTTCAATTAATTGTATTTGTTTAATCTCTGTTTATTATCAAAAACAAAGCACCATCTTCGTGTGTCATCTTAGTGCATACAGTTTTTTACGTGGTGACATACTTGAGATGCAACAAGAGCAGAAATCGCGCACACATACCGGAACGAAAAAACCCTCGTTTGTATAATATCGTAAAATATATATTAATAACAATATATCTCACGTTTCTGATAACATTTCGATCCTTTATTCAGCATTCATCATGGCTGCATTTCTGTATGTACGATATCGGATATAATGTTTATAAATGACCGGAAAAAATCATAAATAAATGTACATGCACGATACGTAAATTCGACTTTACGATTTATAAGCACCTACTAACACAAAAATCCATAATAGTGATACTGTTGGTGAAGCACGACTATATCAGCATCAAACAAATTTATGACGACAAAAATAAAAGTTCGCAGATTATTTTATAAATGCAAAAGAAGGTTCGTTACGCTTCAACACATGAATAACTTGAAAACGCCTACTAGGCTCTTAAAACCAGATTTTCCTGTTTACACGAGTCATGTTTCTAGGGCCGAAAAAGACAAAATGAGACATCTTAGGACGTTTTATTTTATTGTTTTGAAGGATACCCTAACTCCACTGCACAGGTTGCCGGAAACTTTCGACGCTTCTTTCTCTTTTAAAGTTTTTTAATGAAGCTACTTTAACTTGTAAAAAATATTTTTAAATGCGGAGTAGTCACGCGTGTTTAACTGGTACTATTTATTAGAAAATGTTCCCATCCACTCACCTACTGCCATCTTATCTCAGTACACCAGCCTATTCCAACACTTGTACTTGTACAATCGCAAATACAACAAAATGACTGCCACGTGCATTGTGGTATTCTCTTTTGCTAAAATTAATTGTTTTATCTATTTATATCACTTAAACTTGAGTAAAGATTTATCATAATTAATTTCAAAAATTTTAAAATAAATATATAACTCTGTGAGTATTGTTAGTAAAACCTGATGCAAGACACTATGATGTTTTCCAAAAGTATTTTCTTTCATTGCGCAATCACATATCTACGAAGTTAACCAAACTAACCGAGAAAACCTATGAAAAAATATATTTCGTACCTTACAATAATCACAAATCGTAAACATAATAGATATCTCTTATATGTATATGTACACGTCTTGATTATAGGTACCGAGTCACATATCCATACGCAATACTTACCTCTAGTAATAGTAAGAGGAGACCGAACTCTCCGAAAAGCACTTTGAGACTGAAGCTGTGAAGAGCAGGCCTCTTCTTGTATCTCAAGGTAGACCTGCGTCACTGTGCTACGTCCCTACTCCTGGAGGCCTAGCCATCTCCTTGTGACCGACGTACGCATGTGCTTTTTTGTTTCCCATCGAGGGCCTTTATCGCATGGTATTGCGCAATAAGCGTATGTTTTATTACGGTCTGTTTACACTTCCGCAGACAAACTACATCTGTTGCACGTGAAATTAGAAAAATGTGCAAAGGTGTTTTATTACACAATGCGTTTGAATTTCAATGCTCGTAAATATTGTATTGAACTGAAAGTAATCGAAGATTATTCACTAACATGTTTTAAAATGATTAATTTTCATGAAGTTAAAAAAAATTCTTTGCGTAAAACAAAACATTCCAATCGAGAATTTAGTGTGAATTTTGTGTTAACGTACTTTTAGTGTACCTTCAGAAGTCTTAATCAAATCTGTAACTTGGAATCAACTCTAAACTGTAGATATGGTGACGGATTATGTCATTATCACATCAAAGCGTTAACTTCTGAACTCGTTTTTGTTTTCAACTTTTTTTTAGAATATGAAGAATACTACACTAGTGTTTGAAAACGTTTATAAATAGGTCTTCTTTCTCTTTTCCTCGTGTTTAGTCGATCAGACATACCAGTAAATTGCGCTTGAACAATACAACATTTGCA